ATCTGTATATTATGGGCTATTAATAATAAATAGCAAGTAGTCAATTTCAACATTTTTCTAAGGGTCAATTCATGATGTAGAGAATTTATTAAATTCAATTTAATATATATAAGTACTTAAGGTACCTCACTTAGACCATAATAATATATTCATATACATAAGTATTAGTGTATTACATAACGCAAACATCGTATACTTGAATACCTACTTGATATGTCATATTTAACTATCTATAAGTTGCACAACACAATTAAAGATAATCGTAGGTTAGGTTAGAGGTTAGAAGTATCTTTAATTGCATCACAATTCACAGTGCGAAAAATGCGGGAATTTATTACAGTGTAATCTTTATTATTCCAACTTATAGTACTTACAGTCAACACTGTTAGATAATTACTAATATTCCTTGAGTTTTTGTTGATAAATTTATTTTTGGAAATAAATAAATAATAAATATTAAATTATTATAAAATAATAAGCCTCCTTGGGATTAAATTCTTATCCAGCAGGCAGTAGCCAGTAATTGAAATTGAACAGTCAATAATTCATGTGTCCATAAATTAATTGCTTATATTGATTATAAGATATTTTAAATTCTTATTTCTTACCAATAATGAATAGTTGTAAATTGACAAAATTCCATTTCTTCCGAACAGTAATATTCTAAATTTTTCATGTCTTTAAAAGACCAAATTTAATATTTTATACAACTAGTACGTTATCTAATATTAGTTTGTACAGAAAAAAAAAACACTACGATAAATATTTTGGTAAGTTTAATAAATATATGTTGTTAATAACTGTGTTAAACCATGTTAATTAATTTGTATCAGTGATTTCATTTTTACATATTAAATAATATTACGGTGTTTACTTCATGAAAGTTTCAAATTGTATCAACATTATTGAACACCTATGGTATGCTTGAGCAGGCCCCCTCATAAAATGATTGGCCACTGTRCTAAATGTTTTTGCAGGCCCTATACAAAACCTCCAATTATATTATGCAACACATTTCAAATGATACAAGTGTCCTACACACAATTGTTACTTAATATATTAAAATATTGACATTTATATCATAAAATATTATTTATTATAAAATAGGTATTCTTATCAAAACTTAAATTACAAATTCATTTAAGCGGGCCCCTAAAATAGCCAGGCCCAACAGCCTTGTAGTGACTCTAAGCTCTAAGCAATATGAAATATTAAAAAGTGTAGTAATGTGTTATATTAAAATAATTTTATGATATACAATTAATTATGTAAGAATATATATATTTTATTATACCAAAAATTTTTACTAATACTTTAAGTATTGATTTATTTAGTTAGGTACATAGTATAAGCCAAACAACAATGCACTTAGACCACAGAATTAGACAGTGGTTGAATTGGGAGAGGACACAGGGTGACTGRGGTGCTCTTAATTTTTCTCCATATTATAGATACCTCTTTATTATATCCATCAAGGAATAGGGTTACTATAAAATTAATTTTCTTTGGAACACTAATTGTTCAACTTCATTTAGAGTCCATCTTTATTCTTTTTCACTTCAACCACTGCATTTACATTAATAAAAAAAGTAGGTACCTGTTGTGAAATATGAAATAATAAGAAAAATATTTTTGCCTTCTTTTCTCTTGATTATTTTTCATCATTAT